TTTGTCTTTAAAGGCTAAGTTTTTGTTAAAAAAATTTGAGAGAGAGCGCACATGCGCACGAGTGGAGGAGGGGCAGGGGAGGGGTATAGGGGTAGGGAGAGAGAGAGAATCCCAAGCAGGCTCGGTGCTGTCAGGGCACAAGCCTATCTCTGGGCTCAATCTTACAAACTCTGAGATCAGGACCTGAGCCAAAACCAAGTGTTGGACACTTAACGGTCTGAGCCACCCAGGTGCCCCTCAAATTCTACTTATAAATATCTAAACTAATATAACTTCATGTGGTATTAAATGAATATGCATCACAATAGAAACTGAACAAAGTATTTTGAAAAATGGACTTAAAACTCCTAAAGTTTGGTTCTGAATTTTTTTCAAAGCTAAAATATAAACAGAAAATGATAAGCTAAAAATAGAATTTGATCGCTAGACAGTTTAAGCATATTCACTTTTTAGTAGTCACAGATTAAAAATAGAAACAAGCATGAACTTTAACTCCGAGTTCCCTTATCAAATATCCAAGGCAGATTAAAAATCATGTCCTATATTTACTACTTCCTTTGCACCTTCAATACAATAGAGAGTATCAAAGCTAAGTTTAAATAAAATTTAGATAAAATCAAATTCCTTAAAAAAAAAAAAAAACTCTATTTCAAGAAGTAGAAAATCTGTAATTAACCAATTATAAAAATCCTTCCCACAAAGAAGGCTTTAGTGAGAAGTTATACCATTCAAGAAAAGGAAACAAAACTCCACCATAAGATAAAGAATATTCTCATTATTTTATAAAATCTGAATAATTTGTGAAGGACAGTTAAATAGGAAAACTAACATGCAAATTTTAGTCATTAACACAATGCAAAAATCCCACACAAAGTATCCACAAAATACTTATGTCAAACACTATAGATATTGGTGAGATTTTGAAAGTTTTTTTTATAGAGATAAAGGAGAAAAAAGATGCCTGCTATCATCACTTCCTTTCAACAACACACTAAATGCAGTTGGTGAATAAAAGAAATCAAAAGACAAAAATGTCATAATTCACACATGATGATTATAATAATAAAGATTCCCCAAAAAATCGACATGTAAATTAAAACTAATAAATCTAGTAAGGCTACTAGATCCAAGATCAAAGGTTACTTGTATACCACTAATAAAGGAAAATGAAATAAAAATACCATTTACAGGAATAACAAGTAGTACCTGAAGTTAAATAAGGATAACAGACACCCATATAAGATCAGATCTCTGGACGGCATTAAATCAGGATCTACCATATAATTGCCAACATTCAATTATTTTGAACCTACAAAGACATTTTATGTGGTTCAACCTAATAAAAACATGAGAAAAACACATTAAAGACCTAAATAAATGGAGAACAGGCACATTCATGGATTAGAGTCAACACAATACGTATTAAATTCCCAATGGTTTTTATGTTTAAATTACCAAGATGACTTGGAAAATTCAAATAAAAGCACACAGACCTAAGAAAATAGAGAACTACTGAACAGCAAGGTAGGAAGCCCTGTTGTATCATATCATTAAAGTGTGGAACTGCTATCAGGACACACAACATAGACCCATGGTATAGAACAGACATCAGATGGATGCATCAAATATAGTCACTTGATATGAGGGGATACTGAAAATCAGTGAGGGAAAAGTGGGTTTTATTTTAGCCTCTCTCCCTCAAAAATGGGCTTTTTATTTTTTTTTAATTGTCAAAAAATTTTTTTTTCATTACTGATAGAGAGAGAGAACAAGCAGAGGACGGGCAGAGAGAGAGGGAGACACAGGACCTGAAGCAGGCTCTGAGCTGTCAGCAGAGCTCAAACTCACAAACGGTGAGATTATGACCTAAGCTGAAGTCAGATGCCCAACTGACTGAGCCACCCAGACACCCCTTCATTTTTTTTTTAATGTTTATTCATTTTTTGAGAGACAGAGACAGAATGCAAGTGGGGGAGGGGCAGAGAGAGGGAGACAGAATCTAAAGCAGGTTACAGGCTCTGAGCTGTCAGCACAGAACCCCATGCAGGGCTCGAACCCACGAACTGTAAGATCATGTCCTGAGCTGAAGTCAGACACCCAACCAACTGAGCCGCCCAGGTGCCCCCCAAAATGGGCTTTTTAATAAATGATGCGAGGAAAAATGATTATCCATATATATCAAGGTAAGTCAAACCCTCACACTGTACACAAAAACCTACTTCAAATGGATTAAAGGCCTACTAAAGAAAGATAAAACCACAAAGCTGCTTAAAATAATAATGCATTCTGGGCAGAAAAAGTTTTTCCCCTGCCAATGCCATGTTTTATTGAGATGTAATTGACATATACTGTGTAACTATACACCATAATGATTTGATAGATACATATACTGACAAATGATTACCACAAAAAGTTAACTTCCATCACCTCAGATAGTTTTAAGGTTAAGAATATTATTCATAACATGAAAAAAGCTATAAAAGATATTTTCTCTACACATAACTGAAATGGCCAAGCCCCCCAATTAGAACTCCTAAAAAATTAGTAATATAAAAAAATCAGTAATACAGACTACCTAATAACAGACTGCCTAGTAACAACAAAACATTAATGTTTGGAACAGAGTCCTCACAAAAGATATCTAAATTGACAATAAACATAAGGTTATCAATCTCCTTAGTAGTCAAGGAAATACAAATCAAAACCATAATGATATACTATTTTATTCTACACCCACCTGATTAGCAAAAATTCAAGTCTAACAAAATTAAGTGTGGATGAGAATGCAGAGCAGTGAGACCTCTAATATTGCTGTAGAAGTGTAATGTGATACAGCCCCTTAAATATTTGGTCCTACCTATTAAAGATGTACAGGTTTTACAATCCAGCAATTCTACTTCTAGACAAGATGCGTCCCACAGAAATTAATGCACATAAGCACCAGAACACGGGGATAATGTCACAACAGCAAAGTTTGGAACAGCTCCAAACTATCAACGTCAGAATACATTTATACCGTCATTCTGATTTTTTATCCACTCTTTCTAGTAATGAGAAAAGACTTTTAAACATGGGGAAAAAAAAATTCTATCCACAAGCCACATACCACACTGGCTCCTTTTTGGCTCTCATGTTCCTAACACATCTAGTAAATACTTAAATGACAGGGGCGCCTGGGTGGCTCAGTCAGTTAAGTGTCTGACTTTGGCTCAGGTCATGATCTCATGGTTCATGGGTTTGAGCCCTGTGTCGGATTCTGTGCTGAATGCTTCCTCAGAGCTTGGAGCCTGCTTCAGATTCTGTGTCTCCCACTCTCTCTGCCCCTCCCCTGCTCATGCTCTCACTGTCTCTCAAAAATAAGTAAATGTAATAAAATAAATTTTAAATAAAAAATTTTTTAAAAAAACCTTAAATGACAGAACATAACGTGTTACAGGACAGCATGTTGCACTACTGGGAGAGGCATCACATAATTGTTCTAATTGTTTGCCTATCTATAATTTCCACTCTATTGTAGTTCTAGTACCTAAAGCCAGGGTGCTCCACTCTAACTGTACTTCAGAATCACTAAGGGAAAACTTTTTAAATAGTGAGCTGGTTTTTTTGTTTTTTTTTTTTTTTTTTACTCTATACTATGAGTACTGTTACCTCTTCCTATTACGTATACATGCTGTTTTTGTACTTCCTGTACTCAAGTACATTATAAGGCTCCCTATATAACCAATTTATATAGATGCCTTTTCTTTTTCTTCATGATTTACATCCTTATCAGAATTTCAAGCTGCTTGGAAGTCTGGGAGTTACATCTTTACCTGGAAGTGTGATTCTGTTTGTAGAAAGTTCAGAAACCATTTTCTAAAGTGTAAGTTATTATCAGCACCTCACATTATTTTTCTTTATTGTAAGAGTCAGCAAACTTTTTCATCAAGAGTCAGAAAGTAAGTACTTTAGATTTTGCAAGCCAGGGAGTCTTATATTTTCAGTACATATTACTGTAATGGTATGCATTGCAATCATTGAACAATGTTTTTCAATACAAAAACAGCCATAGATCATGTGCAAATGGATAGGCATTCCAAGAACTATTTTCCTAAAATCAGGTAGCCAGTAGGCTATAGTTTATAGACTCCTACTTTGTATTACTAATCATAAGCAGATGCTTGACCTCAGATTTGTTACAAGATAGAACACAGCCATTATATTTAACATATAAATTATTATCTATCCAATATATATTATACATAATAATTCTGTTAATCAGAATTTGATAAGCATTAGTGTGGCTGCTTCATATATAAATACATACATATTTATATACACACACACACACACACACACACACACGCACAACTGCCAGGGTCATTCTAGAATCCCCACTGCTCAACAGAAATGTTCTTCTAAGAATTCATTCTACAAAAAAAGCAGAGCACAAAATACATAATCCAAGATTGTTTACTTAAACATTATAAGAACTAGAAACAGTTTAAGAGACTTTTCAAAAAGTAAATTAGTGAATTAATGATGGAAATACGGTTAAGTAATTTGGCATTTTGGGTGACGTTTTACATTTTGAATTCTCTTCGTTAAGCTTGTTAAATTCTGTAAACTTAAGAAAATTACTATGAAGGAAAATTTCAGCTAGTCTTACAAGTACTGCAGATAGCTGATTAGGCTGATAGTCACTGCTACTACATCAACATACATCCTCTGTGAGGTAAGCAAGGATTTCTCTAATACTCAGTTATTTCCAAGATGCTTTCAAATAGTATCTCCAGTCTTAAAGCAGTGATAGACATTTAAGGGCCATTCTTATAAAAAAAAAAAAAAAAAAGGAAAGAAAAAAATCTCAAGAATTTGTATAAAATAGTTCTCTTTTAGTATGTAAATTTTTATCTTTCATAGATTACATCTTTTTTACTGTGGAACATGTGAGTAATACCTAAGAATTACATTCCTTGATTACTTCAGTAATTATAGGGTATCAGTGTAGAGCATCTTACCCTAAGATAATATTCACACGAAGTTCTTTTTTGGTTCTTGAGATGGTCTTCAGTGCAGTAATTTCTGCATCAAACCAAAATCCTCTGTTACTAGGATTTTCTACAGAGTAATTAACCATTACCACATCACCAATATTTAGTTCATTCCATTTCAAATTCGTTCTAGCTCGTGGTCGAAGATCCTTGACATTTATTTCTACAGTACCACTTTCTGGATATCTGAGGAGAGAAAAAGAGAAGAATCACATAAGAATGTTGCTTATGGGGGGGCCTGGGTGGTTCGTCAGTTAAGCGTCAGACTTGGGCTCAGGTCATGATCTCACAGTTCGTGGGTTCAAGCTCCACGTCAGGCTCTGTGCTGAGAGCTCAGAGCCTGGAGCCTGCTACAGATTCTGTCTCCCTCTCGCTCTCAAAAATAAATAAAAAAACATTAAAAACATTAAACAAAAAAAAAGAATGCTGCTTATGATTACTACCAAAGACGAAAACTATATGCAACATATAAAGAATCAAATCATTCTTAATTTAACTTAAATGACATCTTTTCATGATTTTAATTGCCAGAATAAAGTTCTTGCTAAAATTTTAGTAAGACATTCTTTGCTAGCTTGAGGGGTGTGGGTAGGGGTAGGTAAAAAACACAAGTTCTTCTTATTCCATTTTTTTAACCTAAACTTAAGGGGCGCCTGGGTGGCGCAGTTCGTTGTTCCCATTCTTCTCAGCCAGGTCATGATTCACGGGTCCGCGTGAGTTCGGTGCCCCGGCCAGGTCATTGATGGCCTCGAGCTCGGAGCCTGCTTCGGCCTTGTGTTCTCTCTCTCTCTCTGCTTCCTCCTCGCTCATGTTTGCCCCTGTCTGTCCGCATGCAACAAATAAAAACGTTGAAAAAAAAAAAATTAACCTAAACTTAAGAATTACTTTAACAGTGGGTGCCTGGGTGGCTCAGTCAGTTAAGTGTCTGACTTTGGCTCAGGTCATGATCTCACGGTTTGTGAGTTTGAGCCCTGCCTTAGGCTCTGTGCTGAGAACTCAGAGCCTGGAGCCTGTTTCAGATTCTGTCTCTGTCTGTCTCTCTCAAAAATAAATAAATGTTAAAAAAAAAATTACTTTAATGGGACTAGATGTGGACCTCTTCCTGAACTTGAAATCAGTTTGAGATCTGCTGTTTGCTTTACACAACTTAGCACATTTCAATAGCCTCCATTTTTCCAGGAAAAGAGAGGTAAAATTCTAGTTCTTACATGTAGCCATGTGGTCTATTAATGGGAAAAAAAAAAATAAAAAGAAACTTGTATACATCAGAGAGTGGAACTGTGCAAAATAATTCTAGCAGAATCTTGATTTTGTGCTTCTAATGGTAAGCTTAACATAAAAAACAAAACTGATCTGAACCTAAAGCTTTAGAAGTTTTCTAAATTTTCAGTCCTAACTTCTGGTATCAACAAGGCCAAAGACAGCAATGTAACAGTCTGTAGTGGTTTCTATAAAATTAAGACCGGTTGCCCCTATGTATTGCTGGGGAGTAGGGGGCAAAGAAATGAGTAATGTCTGGTTCCTACTCCTGTAAAGCTCAGTCTTTTGGGTAGGCCAAACCACTGTAATATAATGGTGTTTCTCAAAGTATGATCAACAGAATCAACATCGTCTGGGAATATGCTACAAATGCAAATTCTTGGGCTCTACTTTGGATCTAATGAGTCAGATAATCTGGGAATAAGGCCTAGCAATTGATTTCACAAATCCTCTTAGTAACTGAAAAGCATGTTCGAGTCTGATAACCTACTGTGCTCTAAGAATACAAGAATAAGTAGCAGAGCCTACTGTGACAATATTAAGAAGGTAGAAACTAAGAGTAAAGACCATTAACCCTTAACCAACTGAGTGGCCTGCTCAAAATGTAAGTGGGTCTGAAATTGGAAGCATCTCTAGCAGAAAGCCTTGGTTCTTCTGAAGAAACCAAGTACTATGAAAGGCTATGACTCTCAGTATATTTAACTCATTTAGAGTAAATGGGTATTAATTCTAGGTGGGATCTTTAGTTAATCATCCAAAAATCTCAGGATTAGCAAAGGGCCTCAAAGTGGATCTCGTCTATTTACCTTCTTATTGCCTTAATTCCCTTCTACCACAAGCCTTCCAAAAAATCATGTAACCTCTGCTTGGACTGTGATGAGAGGGCAGTTTTTTGTTGTTGTTGTTTTTTCAAATTTATTTGAGAGAGTGCAAGCAGGGGAGGCACAGAAAGAGAATCCCAAGCAGGCCCGGCACCTTCAGTGTGAAGCCTGATGCAGGGCTCTAACCTGTGAATAGTGAGGTCACGGCCTGAGCTGAAACCAAGAGACCACTGCTTCACTGACCAAGCCACCCAGGTGCCCCAAGGGGGTAAATTTTAACCCTAAGAAAAGCCATTCTATCTTCACATAGCTCTGACATAAAAAGGAGAACATACTTGATACTGGATCAAACATAAGCTTTGGAACTCATTCTATGCCCAAATTCCATGAAGGAATCCATATACTCTATCCACAGAAGACTTAATATTTGATGGTCTCAATGTCCCCACCACCCTCAATCTTCTCTTTTAAGTAAAAATATCTTCAACTTACAGAAAAAGGTTTTGAGTCCTTTATCATCCCGGTGTCTTCACTGGCTGAGTTTAAATTCCCATTTTAGCTTCCTGCTATTGGGACTCCCTGGGAAAATTCTGTACCCTTACTAATACTCTGTCATGTGTAAAATGTAGCTTAATGATAACTAACTGTACGTCATGTGGTTGTTTTGAGAACTAAAATGAGAAGACTTGTAAAGTGCTTAAAATAGTACATAATAGGCTAAGTAAATGTTAGTTAAGATATTGTTATTATCCCACAGAAATAATCATAAAGAAAGAAACTGACAATTACAACATCAGGTTTATGGTTCTGCTCTTCTATTTCAATCCCATTTTTTAATGGTCAAATCTTGGGGCATTTGAGTGGCTCAGTCAGTTAAGCGTCAGACTCTGGCTCAGGTCATGATCTCATGGTTCATGAGTTCAAGCCCCGTGTTGGGCTCCGTGCAAACAGCCCAGAGCCTGGAGCCTGCTTTGGATTCTGTGTGTCTCTCTCTCTGCCCTCCCCTGCTTGTGCTCTGTCTCTGTCTCTCAAAAATAAACAAACATTTAAAAAAATGTTAATGGTCAAATCTAAATTTAGAAGTCTCTAACACTTGGGGCTTATACACTCATGTTGTTTCACAATGGTTTGGTCACAAAAATAACCAACATTTCTCCTAACCTGTAAAATGAAGTTAAACTAGATTTTTTTTAAGGACTTCTCTAATTTTGAAGTTTGTGAACTTGTTTCCTGCTTCAATATTCTTAAGACCATATAAGAATAGAAAACTATTCTTTTAGATGAGATTCCTTTTTCAGCTGTAATGTGAAAATTATACTTGGACATCATGACATTATCATGTATCTCTGTATGTTTAATACAGGAAGAAAGCATATTTCAATGGCAAAACAATTCTCCATTTGCCTAAGTTTGTCAAAAGTAGATACTAAGGAAATATTTTAAAGTAGAAAACTTGACCAAAGTTTCAAATTTGTATATAAAATCATGTTTATCAGAGACAAGGCAAAATAAATCATCCCATACACCACAGCAAGGGAATATAAGCTATATTTGCCATGGAATAAATTTGTACAATTTCATAACAGAATTATACATACATATACTCTATATGTATATACTACTAGTCTATAGAAGGTAAGTCATGAAAATTAAGTATACTTCTTCTAATTCCAGCCACAAAAAGATGCTAAGTCAATGCTGTGTATAAACACAAACATGAAAGGGGCACATAAAACTACCCTTACCAAAATCAAGAGCATGCCAAACACTCAAATATTATTACTATTTACCTGAGCATCTTCATCTGCAGACATCTTAGCGTAAACAGAATGGGAACACATAAACTCTACTATAATCCCAATTTTCTTCAGACTCACATATCCAACTACATTTCTAACAGATATCTCAGAAGCACTTCAAATTCAAGGCAACCAAGATGGAATTTCCCATCCTATAATCTGATGTTTGGTATTCTCTGAGCAAACTATTCATATTCCCAGAAACTCAGGAATTACCCCTGATTCCTCTTATAATGCCTTCATCCAGTTAATAAGTCCTCCTTATGCTATACCTTTGACACTACTTTAATGTAATTGTACCTCCTTAGTGAAGACCTGCATTTCTCTAAGACTATTGTCAAAGCCCAACATAGCTCCCTGTCTTTATGATCATACCTCAAAATATTTTGTGAAGTTTGATAATGGTCTGTTCACAGGTTGAGGGAAAACAAGTATTCTCAAACATTGCTGATGGGAATACAAAGTAGTAGTGTCCCCTTGTAAAGAGAAATTTAGCAATAACCAGCAAAATTGCCTATGTTTACCTTTTGATCCAGAATTCTACTTCTAGGAATCCATCCCAAACATAGATAACAAAAATCCTTGTGAAAGGACACATTGGTGGACGCCCCGGTGGCTCAGTCAGTTGAGCATCTGACTTTGGCTCAGGTCATGATCTCATGGTTTGTGAGTCTGAGCCCTACATCAGGCTCTCTGCAGTCAGTGCAGAGCCTGCTTTGGATCCTCTGTCCCCTCTATCTCTGCCCCTCCACCATTCCCACTCTTTCAGAAATAAACATTAAAAAGAAAAAAGGACACATACACAAGCCTATTTATATATGTACTATCTATAATAGCAAGACTAGAAACAATCAAATGTCCATAGTAGAAAACCACTTGAAATAACATGATACAATTACATAACGGAATATTATGTTCCTATAAAAAGGAACAGAATTGTCTACAGTGAAATAATATATATGGAGAGCTCTATAGTAACTTAAAAAAAAAAGCAAGATGCAAACAAGTTTATAGTGTGCTACTTTATACCTAATAAGTGTGTGGAAATACAAACATAAAAATACACTTGTATACATATAAAAATAGATGTGAGTGTATGTATGTGTATATATATGTATATATGTTTATTTTGAAACAGAAGGATAAACCAAAACTAATAAACATAGTTACTATAAAAAGAGGTAAGAAATAGAAGAAACCGGGATGGACACTTCTATTCATATATCTTGTTTTGGAGATTTACCTATAGATCATGTAATGTTTTATAAAAGCAAAGTATAAAAAAAATGTAAGAAATTCCTTAAAA